ATCTGGCTAATCTACATGCCTCCGTCGAAGGAGGCATGTAGTCTAGACACACCCTTTGAGTAAAAACCCCTGGTCCTCCACTGGGGAGGTTTGCTATAGGCCTGCCAGTTGGGGGGCTGGCTATAGCATAGGGAGAAGGAAAGAGAGAGAGAGAAAAGATGAATTCCAGCACTGCCCCTCGAGTACAACATTCAGGCAGAACACCCAGTTAGACTGTTGGCCAGAGCAGATGATGGTTACACTGGAACTAAAATGAGGCTGACTCTTTGGTCTAGTGGCAGCATTATGCACTGCTATAGGCCTGCCAGTTGGGGGGCTGGCTATAGCATAGGGAGAAGGAAAGAGAGAGAGAGAAAAGATGAATTCCAGCACTGCCCCTCGAGTACAACATTCAGGCAGAACACCCAGTTAGACTGTTGGCCAGAGCAGATGATGGTTACACTGGAACTAAAATGAGGCTGACTCTTTGGTCTAGTGGCAGCATTATGCACTGCTCCTTAGGGAATGGAAAGCTGCATCTTGAGTTTGGTTTTTTGCTTCCTGCTCTATGAAGAGAAAGGGGTTTGTGGGTCACAAACATGGGCACTAGGGGACAGTTAGCCTTTAGGGTAGAGAGGGGAGGCTCTTATAATGCTTCCTAGAATCCTCTCCTGATTAAAGCTTCAGAACTAGCAGCTTCTACAAGAAGCTGTAGTCAGCCCTGTTTTCTGGCAGAAGAGGTGGGATGAATAGAGGCTCTGATATGGAAAAGAGACACCAGCTTGAAGGACATATCTAAAAAAAACCAAAGACCCTCTTGTGAAGGTCTGAATGCTTCCTGCGAGCTGCTAAGTGCTCTGAGCCCCTGATCACTTCAGTGGAACTGCACACACTCAGCACCTTGTATTTCTTTTTCAGCACTCAAAAGAGCTTATAGTTATGGTGCTTAAAATGGGGATTTGTTGCATACAAAAATAGCATATTCTAGTCTGTATGCTCAGTTTGATGTGTATTCCATCCCTTCTTAACACAGGGAGCATTGCTGGCTGTCTTTTCCAAGAGCTGTGTTCATTCCAAGATGGAGCAATACTGACAGTGTCCTTTACAAAGGGAGACTAGGCTACAGAGATCTCACATGGGGTGGAAAACTCTGTCACCCCTTGCTCCGCAGTGTTCTTCTATCTAGGACAATTGTAGGAGCATTTTTAGGTGATGGATGACCTGGGGGAATAGGACATGATTCTTCTCTTCTCCCCCAATGCTTGAGTAGCTCCTCTCTTCAAAATCTTCTTACTTGGGTGAGAGGGGATAGATCCGAATTTGGCCCTTAGAGTGTCCGTATTCTCATTATATGATGGCATTGCAGGACAAAGGTCATATTTCACATGCCATGCTTCACACACATTCTAGAATGCTTCACACACATTCTAGAATGCTTCACACACATTCTAGTTCACCCGTGATTGTGAATTTCCTTCCTATTGATATTTTATTGTTTTGTGCCAGATCCTTAATTTTCTTCTCACCCATTTGGTTTTGGATGGATGAAGAATATATTTCCCCATCTCATCATGTTGTTGTGCCTTTTCCTAGCATGACATACCCATCTTTACCCATAGAAGGGCCTGACCTTGGTTGACCTCAGTGCCCACAGGGATCTAGAATCACTCAGGATTCACTTTGATTTGAATGTATATCACCCCAAAACAATTAAGCAATAAGCCCAACAATCTAGTATTGTAACGAATAGTAATTTACTTAACGGAGTAGTTCAGGAATGATAGAGAGTTTATCTCAAATAGATTTGATATTGTACCGCTTTAAAGACAGTGGGTCATATCTTAGTTTAATATGGAGTAATTCCACTAAAGTTGATGGAGTTACTAGGTAGCTAGGTATCTGGTTTTAAGGGACCTGTGCAGTCTCCAGTCAGAAGTACCGACTGGACAGCAGAAGTGTAGCTATCACCATTCTATTATCACCTACCCTCCAGTCCAGCCAGCCCTTTATCTCCTGAGCACTGGCCCAAAGAGCTGGGGGGAGGGGGCAAAGGGGGTGAGAGCAGAGCTGGAGGCACCACAGCCATTAGTCTTGACTGGGCTGGGGAGGGAGACTCTCTTCCTCTGCATGGGCTGCTCTGGGGGCTGGGTCAGACCCACCTTCAGGAACCTACGCTGACCAGAGGAAGCTCCGCCAGCCCCCCACTTCCTGCCCCCATTGTTCCCTGCAAACTCTTTGTCTCTGTTGCTTGACAAAGCAGGAGACACATGGCCCCTTTCAGCCTCCCTCTTTTCTGACTGGTGAGCTGAGCCTTTGGTTGGGGGTGGCTCGCGTAAAGGGCAAAGGTACCAGATCCTTGTGCACTGGGGAAACTCACCTAGTTGGTCCTAGCAGCTCATTGCTTTACTGTGGGCAGGGAATTGCTAAAGGAAGCCCCTGTACTTTCAATCTGAAGCCACCCTATCCAAGTGACATTTCAGGGCAGGACACTGTAGACAATGAAGGGCAGGACCCCCTTCCAGGGAGCTTGGGCTCTGCCTTGGAAAGCAAATGCTGCTACAAATGGCAGGATTCAGTTGCTCTGACGTGTATGCCAACAATGGCATGTCAAGGCCAATTTCCCCTCTCGTGCTGGCTCCACTCACCCAACCTATTGGTTATTGTGTCTTCCTAGTATCTCCACTGCTGGTGGTGAATCTATGTTGGGGCTGTTTGATAGTGTATATGCTGGTATATATTTGAGGCAGAGCATTTTGATCATAGGTGTAATGTCCAGGTTTGAGCAATTGGAAAATTGGCATCCCCTAGCACTTATGTCTGAGCGTGCTATGTAATTTAACTAAGAACAGAATAGATGAATAAATAGATGATCAAATGATATAACTACTGTGTATGCCTTCCTATTTTTTTCTTATGAGAAAAAATTTAAAAGTCAGGGATGAACAAATAAACCAAGATAAACATAAAAGGCTAGTGGGTAATTTCATAAAGAGAAATAGTATGGAATTAAAACATGAGATTAGTAACCCTGAAAATAGTATCTTAAAAAAATCTGTGCAGTATTAATAAAATTAGTCATGCAGAAAGCCATGCATTCAGACCTATTTTGGCCCTAAAATTGTTACTTTATTAAGTCATAATTTATAAAACACATAATTCTAGACTTTGGAGGTTAATCTCATAGTTCTAACATAAATGATAAAGGAATATGTTAGCTGGATTAGATTACAGAAAAATACAGCAAAATGATGAAGGACAAAGTCTGATTTTTAGCTATACTGGAGAATTTTGCCTTATGTTTAAAGGGTGGAAAGACAAATTTCTAATCTTTTCTTTTTAAAGGGGGGAATAATTAGGGCACTCTTCCTAACTGTAGGGATAAACAGTATCAGTTTTCACATGGAGCGACATAGATTTGAGGCAGGGGGGACACATACAAAAATGTTCCACAAACTTCACAGTTGTGCCTTAGAGGTTCAGATTAGGGGTGAAAAGCTGCCATGTATTGATGAATTTCCCTTTAAAGTCTGGAAACGGTGCCACTTCTTAAAGGTAGAGACTGAAATCGGTAATGCCCTGCAACTAAAAATGGATCCGAAGCGAAAGCTAAATCAAAATATCACACACCACCTGAACTTTAGTAGAGTTTTTGTCTGGACCTCAGCTTGTGTACATAGCCCCAGTATCTTTATATCTTGGGCCAAACCTAACCCCTGGATCTGGTGTTCCTGAACTTCGGATCTGGATCCAGATTTTGCAATTTGGACCCGATTCTTTTTCTACCATATGGCCCATGATTCCTTCAGCCCTGTTGCAAGCAAGAACTGCTATTGCTTTAGTGGGAGTTTTGCCTATTCATAGAATATAGCAGTCGGCCCGATGATTAGCAAAATGGACATGGATACCACAGAAAAATGTAGAAGGGGAAACTTCACTCCCTGGTGAGAGAATCATTTAATGAACTTTCAGAACCAGGAAACAGATGGCTTTTTGTGGGGTAAATGGAATTTCCCTGGCTCCCCCTTAAAATGAATCA